GTTATGTTGAGTGTGGTGAGCCTCATATATTTAAGAGATACATTTTCTCTTTCTGCTGTGTCTGTGTCTGCTTATATTTTTGCCCATTTTTCTTACAGGTTTATAGCTCACTAGCTCTTTGTCAAATGAGCTGCAAATATTTTTCCTCGGTTTGTTGGCTTTTGACTTTGCCTAGAGTGCTTTTTTGCCATGCAAAAACACCAGATGTTTATGGGATCGAATTTACCCATCCTTTATTTTACTTTGATTCTGGATTGTGTTGTAGTTTGAAAGGCCTTTCTCACTCTGAGCTTAAAAAAATTAAATAAAAAAATACTTACCATGGTTTCTTCTTTAACCACCCCCCCCCCCCCCCCCGCCACGCCACAGGGCATTTTTTGATCTTAGTTCCCTGACCAGGGATCCAGCAACCTTGCCCCCTGCATTGGAAGCCTGGAGTCTTTAACTATTGGACCCCTAAGGAGGTCCCTATTCTATATTACTTTTAGAACTGATTTTTATGTTGTAATCTTGATCCATTTGATATTTAGGAAAGTGTGAGGATCATAGTATTCTGAAGTGCTAACCTTGGTGGTTGTATCATCTGCTCAAGCTATTGTACAGATGGGAAGAGCGCCCCCTAGAGGCTAAAGGCCTGTCGCTAAAACCCTCACTCTCTTAAGGGCTCCCTAACTTGGGCACCTCCTTCCAGCAAGGTGCCAAAGTTCAACCTTCGGACACCCCATTCACTCTATCTGGTTGTTTCTTCCTTGTAAATATTCAGGAATCCACTCCTCTCCACTCTCACTTACTAACTCAGTTCAGGCCTCGTCATATTGTTCTGACACTGGGCTTTAAACATGCTGCTCCCCCAGCCTGAAAATTTGGCTGACTTATTCAGGGCTCACATGTTCCTTGCCCACCTTCTCTCAGTACCTCCCGCACCCCCGCCCCATCCCTGCCACTATGAAACCACTGTATTTTTTTCTCTCACAGCGCTTGTCGTGCTCCGTAATTACCTCACTTACTCACATGTTCACTGTCTTTCTCTTCCACCAGAATGTAAGCTCTCTGGTATCAGGGGCCAGGATTTTTTGTCTCCTGCTGTATCCCTAGCACCTTCGACAGTGCCTTTCACATAACAGGTGTTCAAACTATTTACTGAATGAATAAGTGAATGAATTCTCAACTGGACTGCTTCAATAGCCTCCTGATTCTCCTTTTTCCCATGCTTCTCCATGAGACGTAGACTCAGGGAAACTGGGTGACATGTCATTTATCACTGAACAAAACCAAGGAGTCCTGAGAAAAGAGGGAACTCAGGGCCAACTGTGGGGCCAAAGGAACTGGAGTTGACTGGCCCAGTGACCAGATAGGGCCAGGGGGCCTGGCTTGTGGTGCCAGCTTGCTTCGTGATGTGTGGCCTTGAGCAGCTCCCCTCCTCTCTCTCTCTGTATCTTTCCCTTCTGGAAAAGTGGTCATAGTAAAACCTCAATGGTACAGGGAAGCTATAAAAATCAAATGACAGTGCATGTGGAAATGTCTGAACGCTGCAGTGTGAGGGACACAGGGCGAGCTTTCTTCCCCGTCAGATAGTGTCAGCTCACCTGTTTCCCAGGATCTTCCTGCCTTCACCTGCAGGCAGGTGCTGTGCCAGGACTGAGCCTCTCTCCTCCCACCATTTCCTCCAGCTGTCCTGGCGGGGTCCAGCATCCCGCCCAGGGCATGGAACCTGCCAGTGACCATGGGGCTGAGCGTGAGAGCCGCAAGGCACCAGGACTGAGATGCCTAACGCCCACAGGTTAACGCGAGAAACTTTTCCTTCTGGGCCTCAGTCTTTCCCTGAGGACAGCAGGGTTAATTGGTGTCCCAACACACCAGATAGTCATCAATATTAAGGCCGTGGATGTAGGCAGCTGCAGGGCAGGTGCTACTGGAAGGGAACAGGGAGAGCCAGGCATGAAGCTTCAGGGCTTCAGGAGCGCCCAGCCTTTGGTTTAGGTCATGCCTGTTTGTCATCCTTTAGTCTCCTGGAGCCAAAGTGTCCTCCTTCCGTCATTTAAAAAGGATATTGTTTACTTGGTGGGCTAGAAGAGCTGTCCCAACTCCACATGCCTTGAAAATTAAAAACAATATACTGTACTGGATTTTTTCCCCCCTGTACTTGTTAAGTAAGAGATGATCCATTTTAAGTAAGATTCTCTCCTGACACTGTTTTGTCTTAGGCTCCTTTCCTCTGCTGGCCTCATTAAATGCTGGTAATCCCTATATTGGTCTTCAGAATTTAGGGAGACTTTCCTTATCTGGTAGCTTCTGATTATCTTTCTTTAGTGCCTCTAAACTGTCCCCCAACTTGCTGCCAGAGGGATTTTTCTAAAGCACAGTTCTGATCATCTGGCTCAGAAATCTTTTGTTCCCTACTGCCCACAGGGTAAAGTTTGAATTCCTTAGCTAGTAATCACAAACTGCCACTATTCAGGTTGTGACTTTGTGAAATTTTCAGCTTCAGATGGTCTGACATGATTTCAATATAAATTAAACCAGACAATATGTATCAGTTAGGAGTAGGTTCAGAGAAAGCCCAAACACTAGGGGCTTAAATAGCACAGAAGCTTATTTCTCAAGTCCTGAGGTGGGCAGTCAAGGTTTCTGGGTCTCAGGGACCCAGGCTCCTTTGATTTTGTTGCTGTTCCCTTCTCAACATGGTCAAAGATGGCTATGCAAATTCCATGTTCGTTTCCTGGTGAGGGGGAAGGTGGAAGGGGAAGAAAAAGGTACAGGATGGATTCCAGCTTTATTTTAAAGAGGTTCCTAAGAAACAGACACCTCCCACCTCTGCGTGCATCACACGGGCCAGATCTTGTCAGCTGCTAGGGAGGTGGGGAAAGTGTTTATTCCAGCCTCAGATGTCCCCACCTAAAAGTCATCAGCCTTAATTCTTAGAAGTAGAATGGTATTTGGGGAAAAAGAGTAGATTTTGACATAAATGTTCTGCCTTAACTTAAACCTGTCCCTTGGTCTGTAATGCTTGTCTCGCTTCCCTGCCTGAGAAAATATCATCTTTTAAATCCAGGGCAACTGTCAGCTCCAGGGACTTCCCTAGTAGTCCAGTGGTTAAGACTCCATGTTCCCAATGCAAGGAGTATGGGTTCGATCCCTGGTTGGGGAACTAAGATCCCACATGCCACATGGTGTAGCTCCTCCACCCCCCCCAAATCATCTCCAGACCCCCAGAGGTGCTACTCTCAGGGGACTCTGCACACCCTCCTCCCACCCATGAGGTCTCTGTGCTGTGGTGTTATGAACCTTCCTCCCTCCTGTCTGCCCCCTCTGAGTCTCTACTAGGGGCCAGATCCTTTTCCATGGCTGCAGGCTCATCAGAGCCCCTAAGCCCAAGCTTGTGGAGTCCCCCTGACCAACCTCATCCTAACCTTCACTCCCGTAGCTTTGGGTGGCCTCCCCCTCCCTTGCAGACTTTCTGCACTTGCCCACATTGACCAGCTGCACAAATCATCTATCCCACAAACCTCAAGGACAGAAAACAGGAGAGATTTGGGTGAATTGGGGCTGATTCTGAGCCCCGCTGTACAAGGTGGCAAATCTTACCCAGAGGGCACCTGCAGACCTTTCGCAGTCCCAGGCTGAAGCCGAGTCCTTTTCTCCAGAGGACACAGAAGATGCTCCCAAAGACAGGAGGATGACGCCGGGGCCCACGTATGTGCTGGTGTGTAACTAAACCGGAGTATCCCATAGCTTTCAGACGCAGTTTTCCCCATCATTCCACTGCTTTAACCCCTCCAGCACCTCCCCATGTCCCGAGGGCAAGTCCTGAGCCTTCCTGCTGTGAAGGCAGGCTCCCAACTCAGTCTTCCGACGCCCCTACACCATGTGGCAGCTATACTCACCTGTTGGTAGTTCTGTGATGGGCAGGCTCTCCTGGGCCTCCAGACTCTCATGTGTGCTGCTGGCTTTGCTTGGGACACCTCCTCCTGCTGGGCCTCGAGACTGGCTCTGACCATACTTCCTCTGGGCGGGGGGCTTCCTTAAACCCTCAAGCAGAGCTGCTGTGTCCCCATGGCCCTCTGAACACCTCCGTAAAGTGGCCTCGTGAGCAGATAAAGCTACCTGCGGGCAAGTCCCACGCCACTCATAGGCAGCCCTGGCCTCAGGCACGCGCTGGGCTCTCAGCAAGTCCTCCCCAGTGAGGCTCTAGAGCTCAGAAATAGAGGGCCGGGTGATGGAGACACCCTCAAGCCTCTAGTGCTTTGCCTTGGGTGAGTGGATCATGAAGTGAAACACCCAAGTCATGTAGCGTCAAGCTCTTCGCTGTCTGAATAAAGCAATGCCTTGCTCAGGGCCCGCTTTCAAGCTTCCCCCCGAGGAAGGCCTAGGACAGGACCTTGGTTAGGTGCTCACAGCACCTCACACGGGTCTTCCTTAGCGCGTGCATCACTGTGCCCAACACTGTGGGACCTGTGGGGAGAAGCGGGGCTTCTCCACGGCGGCACTGTGGACACTTGGGGTGCTGTGCCCTGTAGGATGCCGGCATTGCCGGCCTCTACTCACAAGACTCGAGCAGCAGCCCTTCAGTTATGACAATCCAGTGTCCCTTGGGGGTAAAATGACCTCAGGTGTAGCCACTGACGTGTCTATCTCCCTAGCTAGAATGGAAGTGCCCCGGGCATGGTCCAGCCGCCGAGAGACCCCATTTCCTTGGTTTCTCAGCCTGGCACTCACTCCTCCTTGGAGCTGATCCTTCCCCCCTGCCCCAGACAGAGCCGCAGGCCACTGGAGAACGAATCAAACCTTCCTTTTTAGAAGGTTCTCCTCTGGGCTGGCATGGCTGGAGGGCAGAGATCTGTCTGGCTGGTTCTTGTGCTCTGCCTGTCCTGCCCAGGCGTAGCTTTCAGGTGGGACATGCTGCTGGGGCACAGGCAGAGGGCGGCTTCTTCGTGCTGGGAGATGGCGAGTGCAGGGGGATGGTCCTTCTCCAGGGAGGACCTCTGCTGGTTTTTGTTTTGTTTTTTTTTCCTCCTAGGAAGTTCAGACTTTATTCAATACCCTGAGGCTGGCCCCCCAATTCTCTGGGTCAGAAGGGACAGTGAGGAGAGGTGCAGCCTGTGGACGGTGGAGGCCCCACTGGGGGGTGGGGGGAGGGCCCGAACCAGTCCTGCTGCTCCATCTCCCCTCCCGCTTGCCTCTGGGGTTGTCACATCACATGGTGAGAATCTGCTTTGAAGACGTGAAGGGCTGCGTGGACGCTTCTAGGGCACACGGGTAGTCCTGCAGTGGGACCTCGGAGCAGGCGGGGGCTGCGAGTTGGCCTCGGCGGATGAGATCGCAGAGCGTGAGGATCAGCTCCTTGAACTGGTCTGTGGGAGGTTGGAGGGTGTGGGGAGGTGACCCATGGGCTTGCCTGCTGCCAGGAGCTGGAGCTGGGCTCCAGGGAGGACTCTCCCGTGGCCTGGTTCCCACCCGTGTTCAGGACAGTGAGAGCCAGGGTGGGAACAGGGTGCGGGCAGCAGCCCCGGGAGCTGACAGGCCAGTGCAGTGGTCGCTGTGAGGCTCAGACCCACAGAATCTGACTGCGTGTAGCTGGGAGTCCCGAATGGTGCGAGGGCAGGAAGCCAGAGGAGGAAGAGGGGGTGGGCGGTGTCTGGCACCGACAGATGAGCTCTGCTGGGGGCAGAGAGCCTTCCCTGAGAGCCCAAGACTCCCTCAGAACCTCTCCTGTTGAGGCCACCAGGGTCCCTTCCAGGGGCCTGCCTCTCATTTAGGGACCCAGGATGGCAAAGGAAAATGAGAAGTGAAGGCTTTGGCTGAGAAGCGCTTTTTCATAGTTCGTTCAGTATTCAAACTGAACTGTATCTCCTGCTTGAAACACTTCCATGCTTCCCATTTCCCTTTAAGATAGAGTCTGAACTCCTTAAAGAGGATTATAAGGCCTTCCTTAATCCGGTCACAACCGAGCTGTCCAGCTTCCCACCCTCTCCGATGGCCTTTTGCACATGCTGTTTTCTCTGCTTGAAACACCCCGTTCACAGGACCGCTCCCCTCTCCTTCACTGGGGGAATGCCATGTCATTCCTCAGGCTCAGCCTGGGAGCGATGGTGGCCACACTCTGGGGGACCCGTCCTCCAGGAGAGGAAGGAGAGCGTGTCTGGCTCCGGGTCTAGAGTCAGAGCGACTGCCGTTCACGTCCTGGCTGCACACTCTTTAGGTGGGGGTGACTTGAAGCAAGCGACTTAGCCACTCTAAACCTCAGTTTCTGCCTGTCAAACATTGCTAACAATAGTTTTAACAATTACGACTATTAAAAAAATTTTTTTTTGACTGAGCCTTGAGGCCATGTGGGATCTTAGTTTTCCAACCAGAGGTTGAACCCCCGTGCTGGAGAAGACTCTTGAGAGTCCCTTGGACCGCAAGGAGATCAAACCAGTCAATCCTAAAGGAAATCAACCCTGAATATTCATTGGAAGGACTGATGCTGAAGCTGAAGCTCCAATACTTCAGCTACCTGCTGGGAAGAGCCGACTCACTGGAAAACACCTGGGAAAGACGGAGGACAAGAGAAGTGGGCGGCAGAGGATGAGATGGTTGGATGGCACCACCAATTCAATGGACATGAACTTGGGCAAACTCCGGGAGGTGGCGAGGGACAGGGAAGCCTGGTGTGCTGCAGTCCATGGGGTCGCAAAGAGTTTGACATGACATGGCGACTGAACAACAACCCCCTGCAGAGGCGTCTTCGCCACTGGACCGCCAGGGGAGTCCCAACAATTATGACACTGAAACCAAGGCAGAGGCTAAGTACCTTGCCCGATGTCCCATAGTTGGGCTTGGCAGAACCTATAGGTAGTAATGGTGGGAGCAGGATGTGAGCCCAGGCAGGCTGGTTCCAGAGTTTGTTCTCTTTACTGGGGTGTCATCCATGGCAGTCTCCCCTACTGTCAGCTCCTTGGGAGGGTGGCAGGAGCTGTCCTGTTCAGTGTGGTCCCCTCGCGGACAAGCCCACTTTAGCCTAAAACTATTTGCTGACTGTAGCTGTTTCTAGAGGCTGTTATCCTTTATCCTGTTTTGGGGTTGGTGGGGGGGGGGTGGATCTGATCACCTCTCCCGGGCTCAGAGCAGCCGGTCACTTCTGAGTAGGCACTGCCCTCTCGTGTGACCCTTGATAACAGGGCTATCATCCACTCACCTGGACTGTGGTCCTTCTTCCACTGGGATAACCAAAAGCCCCGAAGTTTGAGATCCTTAAAAATAAGCTGGCTCTGTGGAAATAGGAAGGACATACACTAAGGTGCTGAGGGGAAGAACTTCAGGCTTAAGGGACAGACTCCCCAGGGGCGGGGTACTGCCTGAGTCTAGACGACTGTGGGGTTCAGACCCCAGCTTACCACAGAGGCGATGACAGGCTGCTTGGCCATTCCCCCATAGGTCACCATGGTTCCTCCAGGCCTGGGGAGTCCAGAGAGAACAGAGTGGTCACAGGTGGAGATAGGGCTACAACATCATCTATCCCAACCCTGGTTCCTAAGCCTTGTTCTCAGAATCCCCGCGTGCGTGCGTGCTCAGTCGTGTCTGACTCTTTGCAACCCTATAGACTATATAGCCCACCGGGCTCCTCTGTCCCTGGGATTTTCCAGGCAAGAATACTGGAGTGGGTTGCCATCTCTATTTTCCTGACCTAGGGATCGAACTCCCTTCTCTGGTGTCTCCTGCATTGGCGGGCGGGTTCTTTACCACTAGTGCCACCTGGGAAGCCCCCAGAATCCCTGGGAAGGGTTAAAAAAAAACAAACAGATTCCCATGCCTGCTCCAGACCCAGTAAATCAGGGGCAAGGATCTATATTAAAAACAATAGAAAACAAAGAAGCAAGCAGACACCCTCTGCAGATGACCTGGATGTCTAACCAGGTGGGGACCTAAGCTGCACCCAGGCTTTGAGGAAGAGCTGCAGGGAAGAGTGCCCTGCTAAGCAAAGCTCACGACCCGAGTCCAGCCGGGCTCTGCGCCACGGCGCCTGGGTGACCCTGGGCAGTGGGCCACGCTGCCTCTCCCTCTGGGCACACTCATTCAAAGGACCAGTGAGATGGAAGCAGCTCAGCAGCTAAGGGGTGGTGTGGACGGTGCAGAGAACGATGGTGAGTGTCAGGACCTGCTGTCTGACACCCCCAGTGGTCAAACAGGAGAGAGGGGCTTGTGTCATTTTAAACACGTTAAGCCAAGTCTTAAGCTAAGTCTTCATGTGCCCGACTTAACCTGTGTGCCCCTCCCTGCTCCCCCAGCTCTTGCAGGAGTTTGTTGATGCAGGATGAGCCGAGGTTCACTCTGGGCCAACACAAGGGAGGCTCGGCGAACTCCAGAAGGGCAGAAGCTGCTGAGAGGGGCAGGGAACTCTCTGTCCCTGAGGCTGGGGGCCAGTTTGGTCTTTGGTTCCTTCATCTGCCACCCGACTCTGGAAAGTGGCTCCTGTGGCAGGGAGCGGGGTGAGCCCTCCCTCTGTGGGCCAGCACTACACTTGATTTAATCAGAGTGGCTGCCGCTTACAACTTGGGTGGGACGGGAGTTCCAGGGAGAATGGATACATGTACATGCATGCATGTATGGCTGATTCCACTTTTTACCTGAAACTATCACAACATTGTTTGTTAATCAGCAAAGCCCAGTACAAAATATATTTGTTGTTTGTTGTTTTTTTTTTTTAAATTCAGAATGGCTACTGTTTACTGGGTGTTTACTATGTGCCAGGCACAGCTCTGAGCATTTCACATGTGCTGGCCAATGAGTCCTCACGGTGACCCCAAGGGAGGACTCTGATGATGCCTCTTTCACAGCCGAGAAAGCAGGGACCCACCTCTCATTTGTACAGCGCTCTGTGCAGGTCTCAGAGCCCCTCAGACTCATCTTCTGAAGTAGAAAAGGTTTATATCCCCCCATTTGACTGATGAAGAGGCTGAGGCCCGGATCATTTCTCATGTATTGCCCAGATCACATAGATCCCCAGCTAGTGAGCAGCAGCCTTTCTGACTCCAAAGTCTACACTGTGATCACTGAACAAGACTCTGTCCTACGACGGGCCACGCAGGGATGGTGGCTGGCCTCAGAGGCTTCCCGGAGCCATGCTGAAGGGCTGTGCTCGGGCTCACAGCAACACGGGCAAGCTGACTACCCTCCCCGGGCCTTGTCTGGATGGGGATGGGAGCGGTACCCCGTGCTCAGGTAGTTGTGGGAGGGGTACATCACACACTCTGCACAGTCTGGTGCGTGGTACGTGCTCTGTGGTTGTTACCACAGCTCTCTGATCTCAAGACCCATCTTCCCATCACCTGTACATTCTAGAGGGTTCCCTCAGTGGCTCAGCCATCTCGGTACCACTGGCTAAAGTGAGTGCTAGCAAACAGGAGTTAACAAACATTGGTGCTCTAGTTCGGAGGTGTCCCTTAAGGTGCCCTTCCATTCCAGAAGTTTGTACGAAAGGAAAAAAGGATGAAAGGACGTACACTGTCAATAGTACTTATCCTCCTCTGTGGCGGGACGGTAGGTCAGTTTTTATGTAAAAGCACAAATTTTTCCTTTGTGCTTTTACATACTTCCAAGATGTTTTGTAATAGCATGATGTTACTTTTAAAATTAGAATCTATTTTTAAAAGCTAATACGCGAGGACTTTTTCAGATGCCCCTAGGTTATGAATCCTTAACTGCTCCCCTTTCACAGAGGGCCGGGCAGTTACTACTGGGGTCCCCGGGAAGACAAAGCCAGACGGGTCTCTGGGCCATCTGTAAAGAAGGCTGAAGGGGCGGGTCCAGATAACTAGGATGGGACAAGGGTCCCATCTTCCTGCCCAGGGGTGTGCTGACCTGGCCTTGGCTTGCACTGGCCACTGGCACTTGGTCACTCGGTGGTGCTCCTGGCTACAGCCCGGGAGGGCGCCAGCGCGCTGGGGCCAAGGGGCCAGGGACTTACGCCAAATGCCGTAGCAGCTCCGTGGCGCTCTTCCCGCCCACACAGTTGAGAGCAAGCCGCGGCTGGGGCACGTCCTGGGAAACCAGAGAATCTGTGGTGAGCGAGCTACCCCTCTGTGGGGGTGGAGAGAGAGAGAGAGAGTGTGTGTGTAAGCTTGCTGCAAACTGCACTTCCCTGGCCCAAGGGCCCAAGGGAGTGAAAAAGTAGGACCATCAGGCCTTCAAATGCAGTCTGGGGAGGGCCTTTTCTTTGCCAGCTTAATCCTGTGACCTGTTTTAGGCATACTCAGTCACCTCTTTGCAGGCTCCTCTGTCCACGGGATTCCCCAGGCAAGAAAACTGGAGTGGGTTGCCATGCCCTCCTCCAGGGATCGAACCCACGTCGCTTACGTCTCCTGCCTTGGCAGGCTGGTTCTTTACCACTAGCACCACCTGGGAAGCCCAAGGATCAGCAGTGTTGTTGCTGAGTCGCTCAGTCGTGTCAGACTCTTTGCGACTGCATGGACTATGGGAGGATTCTGTTCAAAACTCACCTCTGGGAGAGAACAGACAGAGGGCATCTGTGCTGTGTCCTGACAGACTTCATTTCCCCCTCTCCTCGGCACTTACAGGTTGGTTTATATCAGACGTGCTGACCTACTACTTCAGAAATGTTCTCAGGTGAGTGTGCGTCCGGCCCCGGCAGGGGTCAGTGACAAGAGGCTGGGATGTGGTTTGATCACTGGGAGGTGTGCTGGACGGGTTGAGGGGCTTTTGAGTCTAGAGAGGCTGAGGCCAGCCCCGACCCCCACCACCTCTGACTGTGGTCTTGGTAAACTCCTCACTATGTCTGACCGTGTGGTCTTGGTAAAGTCCTTTGTCTTTTCCGAGTCTTCATTTTCTCATCTATAAAACAGACGGCACCTACTTTGTAGAGCTTTTGTGGGAATTTTCAGGTGAAAAAAACGTAAGGCAGGCGCCTCATAAATGTGACTTCTTTCCTTTCTCTTCCCTCCTCTGCCACAGCCTCTCTCCCAGCTCTGAGATTCACGTCGGCTGTGTGGGCTGACGGAGCCCGTCAGAAACCTTCACAACAACAAGCCTGTCTGCGCTGCCCCCTCCCAGCCCCTGGGCACTTACTGCGTGCTGTCCCCTGGCTGAGGGAAGGGGCTTTACCCAGCCACGAGGAGATGGAGGGGGGAGTTTGGAGACGAACAGTGGGCCCGTGCCCAGCCTTCTGAACTCAGGTGACTGCCTTTCTTCAGCGAGATGGGCCTGGTCCCTATTCACCGGTACCTTAAAGAAGCTTTTCATCTCATGCTTTCTTAGCTCCTCTTCTGTGACCACGTGGTCAGCCCCCAGATTCTTCAGTCTGTCGGTCAGCTTCTGGAGGTCAGGTCTGGAAACCAAACACAATCCAGGCTCGTCACATCTGCCCACTCTCTCCACCAGAGGCTCCCAGGACCCCTCTGCCACAGGTGTGAGAACCCCAGTTTCTCTTTGTGGGAAGCTGGGCCCGGCCACCCACACCCTGTGTGCTGGGCTCAGCACACTCCAGCATCTGCTAGCCTCAGTTTTCTCACTGGTGTGAGAGTGCGCTGGGTGGTTTCTGCCGCTCCTACTGGCTCCAAGGACGCTAGAAACCATCTGGCCCGGGGAGGAGTTGGTTCACTTCCTGATTTCTTCTACTGAAACGACAAACTCCGCTTCCTTTCCCCCTGTCTTTTCAAGAGGCTCTTCAGAGTGTTGTGCAAACATACCCTGGCCCACGAGTGGCTCTGTGCCTCTTTACCAAAGCAAACAGAGCAATTCTTGTTAGCACAACTGAGGGGATGGGGAACTGGAGCAAGTATCAGTTCTCCTAATGAGGCTGGACTTGCCTGATGGAGCCAGCCACGTATGTGGACAGTGAGGCTTAAGGAGGCTGGATGATACGATGGAGAAAGAGTCGGGAAGCTTAAGTTTGTTGTTGATTTGCTGTGTCTTCCTGAGCAAGTGGCTTCCTTTCTCTGATGACAAACCTGTCCTGTCTCCTTTACATCTGTATTTAGTGCACTTCAAGGCATCACACAAATGCAAGGGAAACAGGGGCCTTGGGTTAGTCAGTTCACAGAAAGAAATACAGCTTAAAACATTCCCAAGTGTGAACTATGGTTTTGAAAACATGGGCTTATCAGAAGTCAAGCATCTTAAGAACTCAGGTTGGGAGTGAGGGCCTTCTCTGCCTCCTTCCTGCCCTCCCTTTACATTTCAGTCACTCATCCTATAGCCCCGGGGCTTCCCTTATAGCTCAGCTGGGAAAGAATCTGCCTGCGATGCAGGAGACCCGGGTTCGATTTCTGGGTTGGGAAAATCCCCTGGAGAAGGAAATGGCAACCCATTCCAGTATTCTCGCCTGGAGAATCTCATGGGCAGAGGAGCCTGGCGGGCTACAGTCCATGGGGTCGCAGAGTCGGACACGACTTAGTGACTAAACCATCCTATAGCCCCAGACCACTGGACTTCAGGGCGGGAGGCTGACTCAGCCCTTGGCTAGCAGCAGCTGCAGGAAAGGAGGGCTGCTTATGCAAGGGCGCCACCTGGTGGACACTCGGGCACCTGCGGGTGTCAGGCTGGAAAGGCCCAAGCGGTGGGCTTGGGTCAGGCCTTCCCACGCACCTGTCCCGGAGCACGTTGATGGTCCTCAGGCCCAGGGCGGCCGCGATCTGGATGACCGCTTGCCCCACTCCACTGTTGGATGCATTCTGGATGACGGAATCCCCTGTGGACCCGGGAAGAGACTCAAGTCGAGATCTGTAACAGGTCAAAGGCTTTCAGCCCAAGATCCTATTAGAGGGTCAGAGGTGGAGTCCTCAGACTCTGAAGGGACCCAGGACCTGGCTGCTGAGCCATCTCCGTCCAGGGAGAGTGGTCTCTTCTCCTAGTGCGCCCCAAGCCTCTACAGCACCCATGATGCCTGCCAGGATTCGGCAACTCAGAGTTCACGCTGGATGTGAACTTAGCCCCTGCTGTGTCAATGATTTTGCATCCTTCATCATCCTCCCAGCTCTTGGGTCAAGTCTCTGCTTAGGTTCTTTCCTTGGTTTGTAATGTCTCCTCTCTCCCTTCGTTTTGAAAGCCTATACATCCTTAGAAGCATAGCTCCAGTGTGGCTTCCTATGTGAAACCTTTCTAGATTCTTCTCCTGTGCCCTCCCACAGCACCCTGAGGCCAACTCTGTTAAGACTCATGGTCAGCCTCGACTTACAGCTTGTAGCTCAGTCCCTTTCTATCAATAGCCTGTGGCTTCTTGAGGGAAGATGCGCTATTGCCTTGAAATGGAGACACTGGCAGCTCCTGAATCAGGGTCTGTGATCAAAATCCAGGCCTAACTTTGCACTTGAGCTGAGTGGGGAGGTGTGGGTTGTGCTGGGAAAGCATGGGCTCTGGAATGAGACATGCCAGGGTCTGAGTCCCAGCTTCTCTACCGACTGGAACTGGAACTGAATGGGGTGGGGCGAGCCCTGACCTCTTTGAACCTCAGTTTCTTCCCCATAAAAAGAGGAGTCCCAGGAGCACCCATTGGGTGTTCTTCATTAGAGTCCAGGGCCATCATGTCTGGGAAGGGGCTCCAGTCCCCTGAGATGCTAGCTAGGTTTAGAGAGGCAGTAGGGACCTCATGCAAGAGACAGAGGACTTTCTAGAAGAAGAAGGCTCATCATTCTTAGCTAGGGTCAGCCTATAGATTGTCACCCATCCAGGGGGTAATGAAACCAACCTAGTGGGTTCTGAACTTTTTTTTTCTTCATGGTTAAACTTGAGGAAAATAGAATAAAGATTAGTGGAGTGTATCACACATGGTGAGGGTAAGTACTGTTCCATGAAACTCTGGTTTCCATTACATGTATACTCATATATGTCTATGTGCCGGAGGATAGTGTACAGTGTTACTTGTTACCATGGGTCAAGATCATGTGTTTCACACCAGCCCCGGGGGTGGGAAAGTGGAGACGTGGCGTGGGCACTTGAGGTGGGTGGTGTCAGAATGGCCTGATCAGACCACTACAGCTACAGTCCTAATCAGAAGGGGCCTTGGGGGAGGGCACGCAGGCGACCACAGCCTCTGCTGCAGCGGGATCCAAGGGGAGGTCCCAGATCACACCTGCTGGCTTTTTCTGCTAGTGAGACCCAGGGCTGCTCGGCCACAGCTGGGGGACCCGCATCTGTCTGTGCAGGAAGCTGGGACTGGCTTTCAGCCGCCACCCAAGCCGACCACCCTCCCGCATCTCTCACTTCAGTCGCCTTGTCAGCGTGACAGAGATGGGCTGGGAGATCTCTAGGGCCCAGCCGGCTCCCGGATGTGTGTGGTGTGCAGGGTAACCCTGCAACCACGGTGGATGGGAGGTGGTGGGTAACTGGCCCAGCCTCCTTGTCTCGGAGGTTAATTCTGAGGAGGCTTCTGTGAGGGCCTCTGGAGGCTCCCCAGCAGGACTGGGCCCTGGATGCCCACGGCGGGAACCAGCCTTCACCGACTTCTCCCCCTTCCTGCCCCTCGCCTGCCCCAGTCCCTCACTCTTGCTTCTTGGGGTCACCTCCCCAGGGAACTGCCTGCCCTCAGTCCTCGTCTTAGGCTCTACTTTCAGGGAAGCCCTGAATAGAGCGCCCGGCTTTGTCATTCCTTGCTGAGTGATCTCAGGTGACTAATTTGCCTCTCTGGACCTCAGGCTCCTCCTTTATCAAGAGGGAAGATGGTTACCAGGGACGCCCCTGTAGTGCGCTGTAGGCCTGGCCCTGGGCTGAGGGCTGCTCGGCACGTCTCCGTGAGCGCTCGGGACCTTGCCTCCCTGTTTCACGGATGAAGGGTCTGCTGATCCGAGAGGTCAGCTGCCAGTCGGTGAGGCCGACGGGGGCCCTCAGCTCGCCGCTCTGACGGCCCGGTGCGTTTGACAGGCGATGCACGGGAGGGCACGTATGTGGCCTGGAAAGGGCTCCGGCCGCGCTGAGTGGTGAGCCTGACGCTGAGCTCAGCATTTTACTGAAAACACAGGGCTGTGACTGTCCTGTCCAAGCTCTGCAGTCCCAGCGCTCAGCACAGCGCCGCACGATTTTTGCTGAGTGACAGAATTCCACCCCGAGCTCGAGGGAATGTGAGCCCTCAGCGGTTTTCCAGGGTGTGTTCCTCCGTGGGGTTTCTGCCTGTTTTCCAGGCCCCAAGCTGACATCTTTCCACCTCGAGCAACAAAAGACACACTCGCCCAGGTCGGGGCCGTCTTCCTCACGGACCCTCGCCCGTAAGCTCCCAGGCCTCGGGGGTCAGGACGTGGGTCACACCCCAGTCGGGAGAGCCCGGCCTGCTGGCCCACCGCGGCGCCTACCTGGCCGCAGCCGCTCAAAGTCCATCAGCATCCGGTAGGCCGTGCAGGGGTTGACGCCCAGGGTGGCGGCGCTCTGAAGAGGGATGTCACTTGGGACTGTGATGAGCTCTTCCTCGCCGAACACAGCCTCGGTCCGCCAGGTTCCTGGGGGGAGGCAGGGGAGTAAGGAAGGACCCCCCACGCCCAATCCCAGCTCCCCCTCCTCAGTGGACAGGCGCCAAGGACGGTGGGCTTCAGGGATGCTTGGAGGAAAAAAAAAAGAAAACCTGAGGTCTTTCTGAATGTCTTTGAGCCCTGGTGATAATTACGTGAGGGAGACTGTTACCCCCACATGAGTGACCAGGAGACTGAGCTGGTGTCACACAGCGGGAGGTGGAGGATCTCAAACTACTGGACTCCAGGGGTGGGAGAGCCACATCATTATCAGGGCAGGAGAAGTCGAAAAAAGCCCCAGGTTCCCGCTCGGGTCTCATTCTCACCTAAGGCAGGGTGACGTGGGATGGTATTATGGAAAAAAGCATGCAGGTCGAAGTTGAAGGCCTAGGCGTGGGCCTTGGCTTTGCTGGTCTGCTAGTCTGAGCACAGTGACTGAGTTCAGGTTACTCTAATATGCAGATGACACCAGCAAGAAGAGCTTTGAGTGGTCTCCCCAAGAGATGCTGCACAGATTACGTGATATACGGGAAATGAAACAATCCTATAAACTGGGGAAAAAAGGCTCCTTAAACCCCAACCTTAAAACTCAACATTCAGAAAGGTAAGATCATGGCATCTGGTTCCATCACTTCATGGCAAATAGATGGGGAAACAGTGGAAACAGTGACAGACGCTATCTTTTTGGGCTCCAAAATCACTGCAGATGGTGACTGCAGCCATGAAATTAAAAGACGCTTCCTCCTTGGAAGAAAAGTTATGACCAACCTAGACAGTGTATTAAAAAGCAGAGACATTACTTTGCCAACAAAGGTCCATCTAGCCAAAACTATGGTTTTTCCAGTACTCATGTATGAATGTGAGAGTTGGACTATACAGAAAGCTGAGCACAGAAGAATTGATGCTTTTGAGCTGTGGTGTTGGAGAAGACTCTTGAGAGTCCCTTGGACTGCAAGGAGATCCAACCAGTCCATCCTAAAGGAGATCAGTCCTGGATATTCATTGGAAGGACTGATGCTGAAGCTGAAATTCCAATACTTTGGGCTCCTGATGCGAAGAACTGACTCACTGGAAAAGACCCTGATGCTGGGAAAGATTGAAGGCAGGAGGAGAAGGGGATGACAGAGGATGAGACGGTTGGATGGCATCACCGACTCAGTGGACATGACTTTGAGTAAACTTCAGGAGTTGGGGATGGACAGGGAGGCCTGGTGTGCTGCAGTCCATGGGATCGCAAAGAGTTGGACACGACTGAGTGACTGAACTGAACTGAACCCCCGACCCACATTCCAGTTCCAAACAAAAGAATGATAAAATGCCTCACTCAAGAGGGCAGGAACCGAGGCTGTGACCTGCCCAGAGTCACCTGGCTCCCTGGTTAGATACTCATCCTATACCAGCTGTGAGCCAGGCCCTTGAACGACGACGCGCTCCTGGTGTTCATGGGGTGCTTGCTCAAGTGGAGCAGAACAGGAGAGACACAAATGAGTGAGTATGAGCACTGTAAGTTATACAGGGAGAGAGAAACGGGGGGAGAAAACGACTTCAGACAGGAGGAGTGGGGGACAGCTTCTCTGAGGAGGGGGCAGGCTGAGAGGTGAAGGCCAGAGATGCAGCCACTCAGTCTACAAACATTCCCGTGGAGTAAGAAGCGCAGACTCTTGAGGCGGGACAGAGATAGGAGTGGAACAGGACAAATACACACTGGAGGGGAGACCGTGGTGGGAAGAGTGGCTGGAGATGTGGCCGATGTGGCACTGGCAGTGAAGTTGCTCAGTCGTGTCCGACTCTGCGATCCCATGGACTGTGGCCTACCAACCTCCTCCATCCATGGAATTTTCCAGGCAAGGGTACTGGAGTGGGTTGCCATTTCCTTCTCTAGGGGATCTTCCTGGCTCAGGGATTGAACCCAGGTCTCCTGCTTTGCAGGCAGATGCTTTACCATCTGAGCTACCAGGGAAGTACCCCTTTCAAGATCCTGACCCACAATAACCATGTGTTACACTCTAACACAGTCCATGTACACACACACACACCCCTAACAGAAGCCAAAGTTTCACAGAACAATACTTAACCTTACTCTATGTGACGTGTTGTACTCTGGGTCATGGCATGAAGAATGGATTTCGTTTTAGTGGACGAAGCTTCTAATTTTAAAAGTAAGTCTGAGGTGATTGGATTTACGCTTTAAGATCACTTTGTTGCTGCAGATGTATCGGTGGCCAGTAGGCACGTGAAAAGAGGTTTGACATCACTAGTTAGTAGAGACACGCAAATCAAAACTACCATAAGGTACCACCTCACACTGGTGGTCAGAATGGCCATCATTAAAGTTGACAAATAAACACCAGAGAGCATGAGGAGAAAAAGGAACACTCCTACACTGCTGGTGGGAAAGTAAGCTGGTACAGCCACTATGGAGAACAGCATGGAGGTTCCTCAGAAAACTAAAAATAGAGTTGCCACATGATCCATCAATCCTACTCCTGGAAATATACTCAGACAAAACTATAATTCAAAAAGATAATATCACTCCTAAGTTTCCAGTAGCACTGCTTACAACAGCCAAGACAGGAAACGACCTAAATGTCCATCAACAGATGAATGGATAAAGACGACGTGGTAGACAGATACAATGGAATACTACTCAGCCATAAAAAAGAATGAAATAATGCCATCTGCAGCAATGTTGATGCAACTTTAGATTATTTTAATAAGTGAAGTATACGTCATACAGAGAAAGACAAATACCACAGGACATCACGTATACGTGGAATCTAAAATATGGCACCAATGAACCTATCTACAAAACAGAAAGAGACTCACAGAGAACAGATCTGCCATTGCTAAGGGCAAGGTGGTGAAAGAGCGGGATGGATTGGGAGTCTTGGGTTGGTAGATGCCAACTATTATGTTTCAAATGGACAAACAAGGTCCTACTGTATAGGACAGGGAACTACATTAACATCCTATGATAAGACATAGTGGAAAAGAATATAGAAAAAGAATGTCTACATATGTATAACCGAGTCCCTCTGCTGCAGAGCAGAGATTGGCACAAGTGTGTGTCGTGTACTTAGTCGTGTCCGACTCTTTGCCACCCCATGGACTGCAGCCCACCAGCCTCCTCTGTCCATGGAATTCTCCAGGCAAGAATACTGGAGTGGGTTGCCATTCCTCCTCCAGGGGATCTTCCCGACCCAGGGATTGAAACTGGGTCTCCTGCATCTCCCGCATTGGCAGGTAGATTTTTTTATCACTGAGATACTTGGGAAGCCCCAAATCAACTATACTTCAATTGAAAAAAAAAAAATCACTCTGCTGCTATGTGGAAAAGATACGGGGACAGGGCGGAGTAGAAATAGGAAGGCTAATCAGGGGGCTACTGGAGGGGCCCAGAAGTGAGGTGCTGGTTGCCTAGACTTTGGTAGCAGGGACGAAGTAAAGTAGATGGATCTGAGTTATGTTTTGAAGATAGAATCAACAGGATGTGAGGAGCATTGGGTGAAGGGTGACAGGTCCTCACCCCTGCATGCAGGGACCCACAAAAACCAGAGTCAGACATACGCAGATTCAAGCCCTGGCTTGCGGAGGACTTGCTGAGTCACCTTAGGGTAACGACTTGGAGCCTTGTTAGCGTGCTGTCTCAGGGGTCCTCAGCCTATTCTTCCACGGTTCTTGACTGTGTGCTCATGACCCACTGCCCTGGATCTACTGTGGTCCAGGGTGGGGAGCAGGGGGTAGGCTGTTGGGTGTACTGCAAGAGGGGAGAAACAAGGTGGGCTTTAGGGGTCTGGAACTGGGGCCAGGAGGCAGGAACACTCTTTACTAAAGGCTGTGTCAATCCCAGAGAAGACTGCTGGCTGAGAAAATAAGAGACTGAAAAACTGAAGGGGTGCTTTGAAGTCCAGAAGCTATCTTGTCTTTCTCTGGGCTTTGGGCAGCCTAGTTTTCAGATTTTCAGCGTCATCTTTATAATCATCACCCCCTTCATCTTAGTCAACATTTACTGTTCTCTACTCTGTGCCAAATGCTTAGTGAATGGCTTTCTGTGCATGAAATCAAAGGTGTTTTCTAATTCCTCTTAATGGCAGGACAATGGAAATCTAGCCCTTGACATGGATTTCTGGGGCTTGGCAGTCGCTAATCCTCTTCTTAAGAGAACCGGGGTGGGATGGGGGCAGCTTCCACGTCAGCCTCCAGGGCTTTCAGGGGAAAGTAGAAACCCTCAGGCTTCCGAGTTGAAGAGAGCTGCTGAAAAACCCCAGCTCTGCGGCTCGCTAGTTGTGTGACTCTGAATGGTCACGTCACCCTCTCTGAGCTGCAGTTCTCCTGATCTATGAAGTGCGGAGGGCAGCACTCCCGTCAGTGCGAAGGCTGCACAGACCATCACTGCGCCCGGCACACAGCAGGGGTGGAGCCCCCCATGGTCTCCGTTTCTGACCGGAATTTCCCAAGCCTGAGTTCTGAAGGCTCCCAGTCCCCACTCATGCGCACCCAAGCCTTAAGTGTCTCTGTCTTCTAATGCAGGGGTCACTAAACTATGGATCATGGGCCAAACCTGGCTCGCCGCCTGTTTTTGTAAATAAAGTTTCATTGGAACACAGCCCACTTTTTAATGTATTGTTTATGGCTATTTACAATGGCAGAGTTGAGCAGAAGTGGAATGGGCTGCCAAGTCTAAAATATATACTCATTGGCCCTTTAAGAAAAATGTTTGCCAACCTCCCATCTAATGCATATGGAAATTTAGTGTTTGCAAAGGTCATTGTATGTATTCCCTCAGTTGAGACTGACAGGGCAACGATAATTAGCTCCATTATAGAGATGGGGAAACTGAGGCTCAAGGTCATTGTGATTTAAACAAGGTCTTGGTGGGGGGGTGGTAGTGTTGGTGAGGAAGGAGAGCCTGCATCTGACCCCCAGGCCAGTGCTTGCTAGGCCCCGAGGTGCCTCAGGTCTGAGTGTTTCCAACGGGCAAGTCAGTTTGGACATTCTCTGGCCCTGCCTCCCCTGGGTCTGGAGAAAAGGCTGACTACAGGCACAGCAACAGCTGAGCAGCTCAGAGCATGAGAAATGACCAAGATCTGGCCAGCTGAGGACTTCTCTGTTTAATGATGGCCACTGTACTCAACGGCAGTCTTTTCTAGAAGAAAGACTGTGTCTGTTCACTGCTGCATGCTACAGCCCCACACGCTACGGATGCTCACAACATGTTTACTGAATAAACCGGGTTAATTATCGTCTTGACAATGATAAAACCCTCATCCTCTCCGACTGGCACCTGGTTTAGAAGAATCACCTTGTTTCTGGGGGAGAAATCCCAGTTCTGGTTATGCCACCACCACACACGTGCAATTACCCACACACTCCTGGTCCGCGTCCTTTCTTCTCTCCCGTCTAATCACCAAGCCCTCTCACGCCGGCTTCTCTGTTCACCTGTCTCTCCAATCCCACAGCACTGCCTGTCCGGACCCTTATCATCTGAAGCTTGGATCGCTCAGCCACCTCCTCACTGGCTTCCTGCACCCCCCCCAACCCCGCACCTTCTGCCCTTTTAGAGCGTTCTCTGTAAGGTACACGTCTGATCAAATCGTTCCTCGCCTTCACCCTTCATCAGTGCCCCCCACCTCCACACAGCGACTGTGGGTGTGAGCTCTCTGTGACCAGGGCCCCATTGACGTGTCCAGCCTCCGCTTGCTTCTCTGCACCCCGCCGTGACCCAGCCGCAGAGTTGGTTGCAGTGCTGCCGGCGCTGTGCCTTCTCCCATCGCCACACCTCTGCCCCTGGCTGTGTTTCCGCTGCCTTTTTGCCCGAGAGGCTGGTTTTGTGGGAGGTAACTTTTTTGCAGCAGTGGGGGGGGGGGGGGGGGGGNTGTGTGTGAACTGAGGGGGGGGGGGGGTGTGTGTGTGTGTGGAGGATCAGGTGGTAATACGAGTGGTGGGAAAGTGGCAGATGAAGCTCCTGTTGTGCAGCCTGGTTCCTAACAGCCTCAGACTGGGACCGGGACCATGGCCCCGGGGGGTGGGGTGGGGTTGGGGACCCCTGTTCCAGACCCAGTTCAAGCCTCACTTCTCTGGGAAGCCTTTCCTGACGCTCCCCAAGACAGGGAGCTCTTGCCTTTGTGTTCATCCTGGGATGACAGCACTCATTACACTGCACTGTGCTAAGTGCCATCTTCCAACCCCCAGCCAAGGGCACGTGGAGGGCAGAGACTGTGTTTGACCCACGCTGGGGGCCCTTCACTCTGCCTGGGGTGGGGGGTGGGTGGCCCGAAGCACCAATCATAGCCGGTGAATCCTGGCGGCTCTCAACCTGCTTACCTGGCCATGCTCTTTCACTGCAGGGGGGATGGTGGGGGGGGGAAGGCGGGGTATAGGAGAGGGTGGGGCCATTCTTGGAATCATCCCTGATCTCAGAGAAGGAAAGAGCTTTGTAGACTCCTGGTACTATTTTTTTTTTCCTGCCTGGTACATTTTTGTTCTAGAACTGTTCCCTCCTAACCTCTGGGATTGACAACTACAAGGCCCCACTCTCTACACCACAGATGTTGGCAAGAGACTCAGCCAGGGCAACTGGGAGCGGCCCAAGCCCCACCCCCTGGTGATAGGTTCCTGGATGGGCAAAGACCCGGGCGGGGCTGGTCAGAGCCCTTCTGGGGATGGATGCGGTCGTACTGGACACATTGTGGGGGACACGCTATTCTGTTTGCTCTCAGGGTGATGCTCTCAGGCTGCCAGTGACTGTCCATTAAAGGTATGTATCAGAGTGGGTCTGAATCTTAGCTCCACCAACTAATGGCTGGGTGACCTTGGGCTAGTTGCTTAATCCTTTACGTTTACTGTTATCCCACCTGCAAAATGGGAATAATAACAATATCTACCTCACGCTCTGGGCATATGAATAAATATAGGTAAAGTGCTTATAACAGTGCGTGGTACAAAAGGAGTGGTCAATATTTGTTGCTATTTCTATATCACTGTGGGGACGGATCCCATTGGAGGGCTAATGAGAACAAGAAAGAGCTCTCACAGACTTGGGGTTTCTAGATCCAGCTGTGCCTGAAGCTTTCCATCTCTTGTACCTCCCTGTTCCACAAATCAATTAACTGCTTTTCTGGCAAAGCAAGCTTGAGTTGACTCTTTGCAAGTTATAACCTCAAGAGTCCTCAGGTTGAAGCAGAAAAAACAGAGGCGACCAGAGTCTAGGGGGCTCTCTTTGCAGTCTGCTGTTTGAGTTTGGACGAGGGCTTCTTCTTAGGCTTCAGTTCCTCATCTGTCCAATGGGGTGAACATCAGCCCTGCTTCCCTCTCAGGGCTGCTGCCAGGATCCATCTGTGTGATGTTTGTGCCTCAAAACCCATCAAGTGCTAAAAAGCACATCTCACCAAAGACTCCTTTCTAACACCATACACAAAAATAAACTCAAAATGGATTAAAGATCTAAATGTAAGACCAGAAACTATAAAACTCCTAGAGGAGAACATAGGCAAAACACTCTCCGACATAAATCACAGCAGGATCCTCTATGACCCACCTCCCAGAATTTTAGAAACAAAAGCAAAAATAAACAAATGGGACCTAATGAAACTTAAAAGCTTTTGCACAACAAAGGAAACTATAAGCAAGGTGAAAAGACAGCCCTCAGATTGGGAGAAAATAATAGCAAACGAAGCAACAGACAAAGGATTAATCTCAAAAATATACAAGCAACTCCTCCAGCTCAACTCCAGAAAAATAAATGACCCAATCAAAAAATGGGCCAAAGAACTAAACAGACATTTCTCCAAGGAAGACATACAGATGGCTAACAAACACATGAAAAGATGCTCAACATCACTCATTATCAGAGAAATGCAAATCAAAACCACAATGAGGTACCATTACACGCCAGTCAGGATGGCTGCTATCCAAAAGTCTACAAGCAATAAATGCTGGAGAGGGTGTGGAGAAAAGGGAACCCTCTTACACTGTTGGTGGGAATGCAAACTAGTACAGCCACTATGGAAAACAGTGTGGAGATTTCTTAAAAAGCTGGAAATAGAACTGCCATATGACCCAGCAATCCCACTTCTGGGCATACACACCGAGGAAACCAGATCTGAAAGAGACACGTGCACCCCAATGTTCATCGCAGCACTGTTTATAATAGCCAGGACATGGAAGCAACCTAGATGCCCATCAGCAGACGAATGGATGAGGAAGCTGTGGTACATATACACCATGGAATATTACTCAGCCATTAAAAAGAATTCATTTGAATCAGTTCTAATGAGATGGATGAAACTGGAGCCCATTATACAGAGTGAAGTAAGCCAGAAAGATAAAGACCATTACAGTATACTAACACATATATATGGAATTTAGAAAGATGGTAACGATAACCCTATATGCAAAACAGAAAAAGAGACTCAGATGTATAGAACAGACTTGTGGACTCTGGGAGAAGGCGAGGGTGGGATGTTTCAAGAGAACAGCATTGAAACATGTATATTATCTAGGGTGAAACAGATCACCAGCCCAGGTTGGATGCATGAGACAAGTGCTCAGGGCTGGTGCACTGGGAAGACCCAGAGGGATGGGATGGGGAGGGAGGCGGGATGGGGGATCAGGATGGGGAACACATGTAAATCCATGGCTGATTCATGTCAATGTATGGCAAAAACCACTACAATGTTGTAAAGTAATTAGCCTCCAACTAATAAAAATAAAGGAAAACAAACAAACAAAGGCTCCTCACCCTGTATCTCAGCAGGGCCTTCCCGGGCGGCCCCGCCCGCTCCCTGACAGTGAGTGCACCCCCCTCACTTTCTTCTGCAGTCCCCTCCCACGTGCACACCCTCTGCGGAGGCTACACCGAGTTTTCCTCCATTTCCAAGAGTCACCTTTATGTCTTTGCTCCATTGTGTTCTCCACATGCCACCATGTAGGGCTCATCTCCACCTACCAAAATTCATCCATCAGAGGTCCCTGCCAATGAAGCCTCCTCCTGAAGCCCTCGAGACTGTCTTTCTCACACACACAGTTGCCAGAGGTGCCCTCTGCTTGCCGCGAACCCGCAGCACTCCCTTTGTGGAGGTTGTTGATTTGGAGATTTCGTCAGTTAAGATGTGAACCTCCCGGAGGGCAGGGGCTGTCTTCTTTGAGTCCCTGTTGCACCCTACATTCCCGAGGGATGTAAGAGCTCCAGTCAACACGGGTGCACAGTGCTGAGAGCCGATGCCCTGTCTCCTGAGCGCAAGGAACAGAGATGCTGCTCTCCTGGCCCAGCTTCCATCCCCCTTGGGGGTGGGTGTATGGACTTAGGAGTAAATCCTGTGCTGCATTCTTACACTGAGGCGAGGAGGAAATGTGTACCATGTCAGTGAAACGGGATCTGAAACAACACGTGCTGGAGACACCTGGAGAAACTCACCCAAGCCAGGATTCGCTGGGATCACCCAGTCTCCTGGCTTCACCCCGGTCACACTGCTGCCCACGGCTATGACCTGCCCAACACCTTCGTTCCCTCCAACAGCAGGCAGCTGGGGAAGGAGGCCGTAGTTTCCTAAGGGAGAAGAGCACAGAGGGTCATCCATGAAGCTTGGGTGGGTTGGAGTCAGACGGACCTCAGCCCGATCTGACCAGCTGTGACTGACCAACCTCTCTGAGCCTGAGCTTCTTCATCTGTAAAAGGGGATATACTCCTCGCTTTCAAGGGTTATTATGAGATTAGATAGAGTAGGGATTGAGCCCAGCATACTGCCGGCACTTCACAATGGTTGGTTTGCTCCCCCACCGCAATTTCCTAACTCTTGAAAAGCCTCACATTGCAGGGGGGAGGCCAGAGGGGGCTCACACCGTGTGCAGACAGCCTCATCTGGAGAACAGCTGCCGCTAATCACAAGAATTTCACACCCACACCTGCGGAGGAACGAAAACGAGGTGGCGGCTAAGCAAAAAAGCCAATTAACATAAGCCACAGAAACCAAGGTTACCTTGGATCATATTTATGTCAGATGGATTGATAGGGGCCGCCAGCATCTTCACATGGACGTCTGATCCGCCCACAGCAGCCAGCTCCAGGTTCTTCAGTCTAAGCACAAAGCCAGAGAGATGTTCATGTCACCCAGGCTAGACAGGGAGTCTTTTGCTCAGATCATCTCCCCAAAGTAGGTCAGGCAGCAACATTTTTGAGCTGCCATTGTGTGCCCAGGGATGAGGGTTTTGTTAGGAGACAGGAGCTAGAAGGAATTTGCACAGGATACAGGTCAACTCTCATTAACTGCAAGTGGACCTTCCTGGTGACCTCTTGACCCCACCGCCCACTCCAGGGCAGAAAATGGTTAACATCCCTGTGGGCCTGGGTTAGCCCTGTGTTGTCCAAACTTCCTTGATTCACCTGGTATACTAGTATTCTGGATTCTCAGATCCCAGCTCTGACCCACTGAATCAGAATCTCCAGATAAGGGGCACCCCAAGGAAAAACCAGGAAACCCTTGCATGGCTCGCTTGTTCTCCAATTTTTCTTTTTGCTCCATCACACATAGGGAAGACATTTCCGTTAGCTGCAGCGTGGTGAGGGAGAAAGAGAGATGGCTCATGGAGGTGGGAAAGAACTCCCTGGGCGGCTGTAGCTCGCCCCCTGGAGAGACGTCCCTTCATGACGAGGATCCTGGTCTGTCAGAAAGGATGCTGGATGGACAGCGGCTGGTCTCAGTGTGAAACTCCACCTCAGACGGCTTTGCCACCAAGAGCACGTTTCTCCCATGCTCCAGGCTTCCATTTCTTTATTTGTAAAGTGGGGGTGAGGTCACCATCACCTTCACCTGCACTTGATCCCTTCCAAGGGCTCTTTCCATTTCAAGTCTGTATGCTAACTGCCTCTGCTCATAATGTCTACACCCTAGACATCACGGTCTGTATCCACTGGAATGTTGGTTAATGGGTAAAACCTGTCCAGTGGCAATGCCCACGTGCTACTTTTGTTTTTTTAATAAAAGGAGACCTTCCAACTGGAAAGGGCTGATCAGTGTATCATTAACAGACCAACAGAGCCTCGTGACTTTTAATTATTAGAGAATCCTTTTCTGTCTTTCTCTACACCTCTAAGACTTCTTGTTTGCAGTGCTTTTCTCTGCCCAAATATATTCGTTAAGTAATAATTCTCCTTATTTTTACTTACTGAAGGCACATGTAACAGCCAACCAGAGGTTCTTAGCATTAGGCAACAGTGTCACTTCACTAAGCTGATGTAATTCTACCCACTTCCTGCTGTAATCTGACCTTTTAATTATACCCGAGGTTCCGCTAAGGATAAAAGTGTGATTTCCAAGAAACGGCTTGTACTGGTAGTAATAAAGGTGACAGGTATTTATGAGGTGTTTATTATACACCAGGTCCTATGGTAAGGGCTTAACTTTTGTTTCTGGCAGAGTCAGGCTGGTATTCAGGATCTCTAGTTTCCCGACCAGGGATCTAACCTGTGCCCCTGAAGGGGAAGCAGGGCCACCAGGGAAGCCCCTGTGCTGAAGGGCTTAAATGCATAATCCAAGATTCCTGTGACAAAAGTATAAATATGCCCAATTTATCAAGCAGGAAATGAAGGCTCCTGGAAATGATGAAATTTACAGAGTAGGAGAATTGGCCGGGCTTCCCTCAGAGCTCAGTTGGTAAAGAATCCGCCTGTAATGCAGGAGACCCCGGTTTGATTCCTGGGTCTGGAAGATCCCCTGGAGAAGGGATAGGCTGCCCACTCCAGTATTCTTGGGCTTCCCTTGTGGCTCAGCTGGTAAAGAATCTTCCTGCAATGTGGGAGACCTGGGTTCGATCCTTGGGTCGGGAAGATCCCCTGCAGAAAGGAAAGGCTACTCACTCCAGTATTCTGGCCTGGCGAATTCCATGGACAGAGGAGCCTGGTGGGGTACAGTCCATGGGGTCACAAAGAGTCAGACACGACTGAGCACAGCACACACACAAGGGAGGATGCGCTTTACCATGACTGCTCAGTTCAGCCCTCAGTCACGTTGACTCTTTGTGACCCCATGGACTACAGCACGCCAGGTTTCCCTGTCCATCCCCAACTCCTGGAGCTTACTCAAACACGTCTATTGAATCGGTGATACCATCTACCCATCTCATTCTCTGTCATCCCCTTCTCCTCCCGCCTTCAATCTCTCCCAGCAACAGGGTCTTTTCAAATGAGTCAGTTCTTTGCATCAGGTGGCCAAAGTATTGGAGTTTCAGCTTCAGCATCAGTCCTTCCAATGAATATTCAGGACTGATTTCCTTTAGGATTGACTTATTGGATCTCCTTGCAGTCCAAGGGACTCTCAAGAGTCTTCTCCAAAAAAAAAAAAAAAAAGAGTCTTCTTCAATACCACAGTTCAAAAGCATCAGTTCTTCGGCACTCAGCTTTCTGTATAGTCCAACTCTCACATCCATACATGACTACTGGAAAAACCATAGCTTTGACTAGACGGACCTTTGTTGGCAAAGTAATGTCTCTGCTTTTTAATATGCCATCTAGGTTGGTCATAGCTTTTCTTCCAAGGAGTAAGCATTTTTTAATTTCATGGCTGTAGTCAGCATCTGCAGTGATTTTGGAGCCCAGAAAAATAAAGTCAGCCACTGTTTCCACTGTTTCCCCATCTATTTGCCATGAAGTGATGGGACCAGATGCCATGATCTTAGTTTTCTGAATGTTGAGCTTTAAGCCAACCTTTTCACTCTCCTCTTTCACTCTCATCAAGAGGCTTTTTAGTTCTTCTTCACTTTCTGCCATAAGGGTAGTGTCATCTGCGTATCTGAGGTTATTGATATTTCTCCCGGCAATCTTGATTCCAGCTTGTGTTTCATCCAGCCTAGCATTTCGCATGATGAATTCTGTATAGAAGTTAAATAAGCAGGGTGACAATATAGAGCCTTGATGTACTCCTTTCCTGACCTGGAACCAGTCTGTTGTTCCATGTCCAGTTCTACCTGTTGCTTCTTGACCTGCATACAGATTTCTCAGGAGGCAGGTCAGGTGGTCTGGTATTCTCATCTCTTTAAGAATTTTCCACAGTTTGTTGTGATCCACATAGTCAAAGGCTTTGGCGTAGTCAATAAAGCAGAAGTAGATGTTTTTCTGGAACTCTCTTGCTTTATTGATGATCCAACAATCATCCACGATGATCATCCACAATGGTCCACGATGATCCATGATCCATCATGGGTCGGCGGTGGCCTGCTGCAGGGTTGGGGGCACTGTGTGCAGCAGTGTGTGCATGGGACCTTTTGAAGGAGCTTGCCATTATCTTCATTACCTCCATCATAGTTTGGCCTCAGTTCGAACAACAGGGAGGGAACATAGCCCCGCTCATCAGAACAAGACCCAGTTTTACCCTCAGTCAGTCTCTCCAATCAGGAAGCTTCCATAAGCCTCTTATCTTTCTCCATCAGAGGACAGACAGAATGAAAACCACAGTCACAGAAAACTAATCAAACTCTTCACATGGACCACAGCCTTGTCTCACTCAATGAAACTATAAGCCATGCTGTGTAGGGCCACCCAAGACAGATGGGTCATGGTGGAGCATTCTGACAAAATGTGGTCCACTGGAGAAAGGAATGGCAAACCACTTCAGTATTCTTGCCTGGAGAACCCCATGAACAGTATGAAAAGGCAAAAAGTTAGGACACTGAAAGATGAACTCCCCAGGTCAGTATGAGCCCAATATGCTACTGGAGAACAGTGGAGAAATAACTCCAGAAAGAATGACGAGATGGAGCCAAAGCAAAAACAACAACCAGTTGTGGATGTGATTGGTGATGGAAGTAAAGTCCAATGATGTAAAGAGCAATATTGCATAGGAACCTGGAATGTTAGGTCCATGAATCAAGGCAAATTGGAAGTGGGCAAACAAGAGATGGCAAGAGTTAACATCGACATTTTAGGAATCAGTGAACTAAAGTGGACTGGCATGGGTGAATTTAACTCAGATGACCATTATATCTACTACTGTGGACAAGAATACCTTAGAAGAAATGGAGTAGCCCTCATAGTCAACAAAAGAGCCTGAAATGCAGTACTTGGATGCAATCTCAAAAATGACAGAATCATCTCTGTTCGCTTCCAAGGCAAACCATTCAATATCACAGTAATCCAAGTCTATGCCCCAACCAGTAATGCTGAAGAAGTTGAAGCTGAATGGTTCTATGAAGACCTACAAGAGCGTCCAGAACTAGCACTCCAAAAAAGGTGTCCTTTTCATTATAAGGGACTCGAATGCAAAAGTAGGAAATCAAGAGATACCTGGAGTAACAGGTAAATTTGGCCTTGGAGTACAGAATGAAGCAGGGCAAAGGCTAACAGAGTTTTGCCAAAGAGAACACACGGGTCATAGCTAACACCCTCTTCCAACAACATGAGAGACGACTCTACACATGGATATCACCAGATGGTTATTACCATGACTGAAAAACCGCTGCAAACAATCAAAATAATGTACAAACACTCTCTACAGAAAATGGTTAACTAGGAAGAAGTTGATGACCAGGGCAGAGAAAAAAGAAAGGGCTTTCCCACCCCCCCCCCCCCCCTTGTAGGTAAAGTATTAAGAAATGTATGTATTTATACATATCTGGAGGAGGGAGAGTCCTTGTAACAATAATAACTATTGTTCGAGTGCGCTCCAGCCAGGCGCTCAGCTAAGTGCTTTCCATGCGAGTTTTCATACTATTATTCTGATTGTATAGCCAAGGAACAAAGGCACCAAAGAGGTAGATAACTTTTTAAAGGCCCCCCGAAGTAGTAAGTGGCTGATTTGAATTGAACCTGGCAATGTGATACTAGAGAAGCCAGCTGGTGAAGGGCTGACCCCAGACCAGGCAGAGGAGGCTGTAAGAGGAGCACCAGTTTGGAGTGGTGGGCGTCCTCAGTCCTTGCCTGGGGAGATGAAGGGGGCCAGCCTCCCACCCCCAGGATAAGCAGGAAGGCCTTAGCCTGGAACCCACGCACAAGTCTGCATTCCAGAGAAAAATCCTGCCCAGAGCAAATGGATTGCGGCCTGGTTGCCCCTTTGTATTATCCACACTGCTCCTCTCTTGCATTGC